GACACCCGACGGCTGCCCGGGGGCTCACGGGTGCAATGGCCGGCTGCTGCCTCCCCGGTCTGGGGAAGGAAAGCTCCGGTGCTGCCGGGTGCCGCAGCACCCAGGAGGGAGAGCCACCGCAGCCAGCCGAGGGTAACTCTTAAACGGCAAAACAAAACAAACATCACTTTGCAGCTTGGATGAGAAGGCGTTAAACGTGCCACCGCCACGAGGGAGGATTACACAGGCTGCTTGAGGATCCGGCTCTCCACTAAGGTGTTTTTCACAGTAAACAAACAGACACGATGCTTGTTGCAATGTTAGAAGCAGCCTGATCAGGCACTCGAGCATCTTTCCTTGGCATTTATCACTGGTCTGCTAATTAGTCAAGAAAAGCAGTCTCCTCCTTAGATGTAAGGCAGGAGCAGCCGGCAACAGCACAAAGACAAATCAGCATAACTCTGCCCTGTCCTCAGGTTTCACCTGCGCTGGCACAACAGAGGCCCGGGCATTCCCCCGAGCACCTCGTTAGCTCTGGGGACAACGGCTGGGCAGACCGTGACGAGACCACTAGGAGAAGGGAAGGGAGGAGGACGAGGTAGGTAAACCCTGCACTGTCCCGGCTTGCACCAGGTGCGCAGCTGGTGGGAAAGCACACAGTGATGCCAGCCAAGCACCCGAGCACCGTGCAAGTGGGTGAAGTCGTCTGCAAAGGCGTTGGGTCGCACGGGTGACACACCATCTCCCTCCTGCTCCCCTGAAGTAGCAAAACCCCTTCTCTAAATAGTGGTTTTGTTTCCCGTTGACTTGACAAAGCAGAGCATCAGGTCCAGCTGGAGCTCGCCACCACAGGCAGCGACCCAGGAAGAGCTTTTTTCGCCCAGAACACGGCGTGAGCGGGCGTTGTTCTGGTGGGAGCTCAGTCTGTCACAGGGAACAGCACTTTCTTCCGGCCCAGCGTTACCTACAGCAGCTGCTCCAGAAGAGAAACTATCGCGCAAGAAAAGATGCTCCGTCCTGCGCCTCACTCAGCGGAGTTTGGGCCGAGTGTTTCTGAGACCGCAGTTCTAGTCAGTTTAAAAGAACAAAAAAAAAAAAAGCAAAAAGCTTCCCAAGAAAAAAACCAACCTTGGCCTTTCTTGGATATTAAAGGTGAACAGTTATGGCCAGAAGAAAACCTCCCCTTGCATCAGGGTCCATTTGCAGTTGTGAGAGGGAAAAACTCAGACCAGCAGGTCCCACCTTCCTCAAGGAGAGCTGAAAGAGCAACGTTTCAGCCGGCAGCCGCAGCCCCACCAGCAACGCTTACAGGGTGACCTCCAGTGGGATGAGGAAGACATGACAAATTTCACATTACATGAAGAGGAAACTTTATTTTAAATCCATCTCTGTGCATTATAAAGGAGCAGAAAGGGGAAAGAACAGGGTCCTTTGGAGCTTACCGTACCACCACCCCAGGGCACTCGCGCGGCTACAGGATTTCAGGCTGGTTACAACGTGAGTCGACTCCTGCCACTTTGGCAGAGAGGTGTAACCGTCAGCTCCACCAAGGTGAAAGGAGGACAGAAAGGGTGTGACGCGCACACAATCGCAGATGGGAGTTATATCCCTGCAGTCCTACATTCAAACTGCCCGACGGGCTCAGCAGATGGACTTTCAGGCACGGAAGAAGTGGCCGACCCAGCCCCGTGCCCCGTTGCCTCCTCAGATGAGCTCCAGTGACGCAGGCGACAGCCGGGGGAATCCACGTCAGGTCCCGTCTCCCCTCCGTACCACAGCAAGAGCCACCTCCACCTGCCAGACAAGCTGGCGCCTGGCAGGCACGCCTGCTGCCGAGGCTGCTGCAGCGCCCCGAGCAGCTGAAGCCCCGCTCAGAGAGCAGCCGTTCGCCGGGGCTCACTGACAAGACGCCAATGGTCCTTGCTCAAGCAGAGATGACTCCTGTCTTCCCCGAACCGCATGCGAAGGAGTACAGCCTGGCAGCCTTTGACAAGGGAACTTGTCAAAACACAGTTTCAGACAGCTACAGTCACATCCATTTTGAAACAGTTAACTTCTCCTGCCCTCCCCTAACAACTCTGCAAGCCCCCCGTGTTCAGCAGCAGCTTTCCAGCTACAGCAGCTGGCTTGTTTCCGTAACTCCCCCAAACTACACCCAAACACGGCGTCGGTGTCTCAGGACTTGGCGCAGGACTCCCCAGGCCCTCCTCCAGCGGACCGAGGGTGCTTTCCCGTGCTGCTAGCTCCCCTGCCTCCACCCTGCTTCCTCTTCATTTGGCCCTGTGACTCCGCTTTAAGTGTCTCAATCCAGAAGGCGTCAAAAGAGCCAGGAGCCTGGTATCCCGGCTCCTGAGGATCGAGGGCGTCTTTGCTGAGTAGGACACATATGGCAGGAATGTTTCTCTTCACTGTCAAGGCATCGAGGCCTGCCTCAGGCACAATGGGTTCCCAGATCTCTTCGATCTGTTTGAAGAGCACTTTGGTGATCTGGTGCAGCTCTTTGAGCCTTCGTTTCATGATCTCCACACAGGTGATGGTCTTGCTGACGGCCTTGCCTGAACCAGTGAAAAGGATCTGCCTCACCGAGTCCAGCTCCATCTTGCCGATGGCATAGCCCATCAGATTTCTGATTTTGCTCCCGTCCTTCACTTTCATTTCAATAATATCAGGGGGCAGGTCAGTGAAAGGAAGAGGACAAGGTTTCTCCACAATTTTGGTTTTCTTATAGTTCTCCATTCTGCAGTGCTGAAAAGGAAAATGGATCCATTAATACAAACTCCCACTATAATTGCTGCGCAAAGAAACTCTCACCACAATTAGCTACAACCTTTCCGCTGAAGGGCACTCCGAGCTGTCAGAGTTGGGATCCTGAAAAGGCATATCCAAAAGACCAGCAAGAATGCCCTAGTCAGGCTGAGGAGTCACTTGTACCCAGACTTCCTCAGCACTACCTACAGCATGAGCACTGCCACAGGGCAGCCTGGGCCCCGACAGGCACGCAGTGAAAGGGACAGCTTTGGTGTTGTGGGCCTAAGCAGGATGAAGTAGAAAATACAGGCTGCATCTCAGGGAAAAACAGAGAACAAATGGGTGAGCTGAAGTTATTGGGAACAGAAGCCAGTGGCATACTGACTAGAACTGCACACCGTGAGATGCACCAGAATGTGCATACAATGAACCCAGGCACAGCTCACCTTCAGCAGCTCGGGTATGTGACAGACACAGGCTCGTGGGGCTCTGAGCCCCACGACTGGCCAGGCTAGGTGAAAGGCCAGGGAATAGATACTGGATAAAACAGTGCAGGTCGCAGGGGAGATGGCTAGCCAGGGGTTGCAGGCAGAAGACACGTGACTAGCAAGAAGCAAGGCAACAGAAAGGCACATGATGAACAAAAAAAGGGTTCTCTGAGGGAAGTGAAAGACAGATGGGTCCAGTCTCATAGCTCCCCTCTCTGCCAAGGCAGCCTCCCTCTACTGGCATCCTTACCGAGGCCTGCCTAATCTGCGTAGGGCACCCCTCTCCCCACCACAGAAAGCCCAAGGTGCCCAAGCATGCAGCACTAAGGCTTTGTTATCTGTAGGCTCGTGAGCCCTGTTTCACCCAGAACCAGCACCTTGTACCCCATCCCCTATGGAGACAGGACAGGTCAATGCCCCCGCTCTGTACCGAGGAAGCACACGGTCTCCACGAGGCCCTCACCCCCAGCACGGCAGCAGCCCGCCCTCGGTGCCTGGGGGCCCGGCACGCACCCCGCTCTGCTGGGGAAGAGCAGCGCCAGGCCCCGCGATAACGTCCCCGCGATAACGGGAGGACCCCGCTGCTACAGGGGATGGGGGTGCGGGCTGCCAGAGGATGGCAGGGAAGGTCGAGCTCGCTGTGCTACGGGTTATGAAAGCCAAGCCGCTGCTGGGGGGCTGCGACCGGGG